ATGGCGCGCCCGTCGCGGGGCAGCCGGCGAGTCGCGCCCCGTACGAGCTCAGATGCACCCTGGCCCTCCGCAAGGGGGGGACGAGGAGGAGGAGGAGGAGGAGGAGGAGGAGGAGGAGGAGAACGAGGAGAACGAGGAGCAGGAGGGGGAGGCGGAGGGGGAGGAAGAGGAGGGGGAGGAGGAGGAGGTGAGGGGGAGGCGGAGGAGGAGGAGGAGGAGGAGGAGGAGGAGGAGGAGGAGGAGGTGAGGGGGAGGTGGAGGAGGAGGAGGAGGACGACGACGACGAGGAGGATGAGGAGATCTTGATAGCATTGTCCAAGATCGTCCAGCGCCCCCCCGGCCTGGGCTAGAACCTGAGCGCGCGCGAAGCGCGCGCGATGGTTCCAACCCAGGGGCCCGAAAACAGCTGCCCGTCCCTCCATGGGAGTCCCGGGGCTCATTTTCGCTGTGTTTTCACGGGGGTTCGGCGTCCCGGGCCTCGGAGGCCGCCGCGATGGTCCCGGACATTTTCCAGATCCTCGGCGCGGGCTCCAAGACCATTCCGCAGAGGGCTCCAACAGGCTCCAGGGCAGCCCAAGAGGGCTCCAAGACGGCTCCAGGAACGACTGCAGGGTCTCATTTTTCTTTTGTTTTCTGCAAGACGGCTCCAGGAAGACTGCATGTCTTCTGAGGATGGCTTCCGCCTCTTGCCCCGAGCATCCCAAACTGCCTGAACGGTTCCCACTCGCCTTCCTCAAACCCAGCGCTTGCCCAAGCGCGTTCCGGACGGTCTTCGCCGGAACGCGCTGGAATGATCACGCGCCGCGGTTTCCCATGCCAGCGTCCTCGGACGTGGGCGCCCTGCCACGAGCGCGTTCCGGGAAGATGCTCCTGGAACGCGCTGAAAAGATTTGGCCACATCTCGGGGACGCTCCCGGCACCGCTGCCCCAGCCTTTCTGGGCAGCCTCCACAGCGCTCCAGGAGGGCCCAAGACGCCCCCTAGCAGACCCCAGAATGCGAAAGGATGGCCCAAGACGCTCCCGAGCAGCCCAAGTCAGCCTTCCGACGGCTCTCGAGGCTCCCAGGTGGCCTCCAAGAGACCCCAAGAAGTCTGATAGGTATCGCGGTACGGCCCGAAGAGGCCAAAGTCGTATATGTTCAATGGTCTTTTCAATGTTTTTGGCTTCTCGCGTTTTCGAGCTCCCATCGGTCCAAGAGCGCCGAAAAGCCTCCATGGGGGTACTGGGGCTCATTTTCCCTGTGTTTTTAAAAAGGGTTTCCGCGTCCTGGGCCTCGGAGGCCGCCGCCTCCGACCCCCCATGGGAGGAGGGGCGGCCGGGGAGGTCCAAAATAGTCCAGGAGGGCCTCCAGAGGCTCCCAAGACGGCCCAAGCGGGCCCCGAGTCGCCGAAAGACCGCTCCAGGACGCCCAAGATAGGCCCAAGACGGCCCGAGAGGCCCCCCAAGGCACTCCACGACGCTTCAAGACGCCTCTCCAGAGCGCTTCCAGAGGCCGAAATCGTCAAGTTTACGAAGGTTTTCGAACGATTTTGGCCTTCCAGCCTTTTCGGCTGTCCGACGTTCCACGACGGCTCAATAGGCCCCCAAGAGCGCCCCAAGACGGCCCAAGACGGCCCCAGAGTCGCCCAAGACAGCCCAACAGAGCCCCAAGACGGCCCCAAGATGCGCCCAAGAGGGGGACCACGACTCCAAAATTCGACCCTCCCGCTTGAAGAGTGCCCCAGGAGGCCCCAAGGAGCCCCCAAGAGGCCCCAGGAGGCCCCCAAGAGGCACCCAGGAGGCCCAAACGAGGCCTAAAGAGGCCACAAAACAGCCCGAGGAGGCCCCACAACGGTCCCAAAACGGCAACCGAGAAGCTGCGAAACTGCCTTCACGACGTCCCCGACAGGCCAACCACGAGATCCAAAGCAACACCCATGAGGCCTCTGACTCACCACCCAGGGCACGGTGGCGGGAGCAGTGACAGCACTTGTGCACAGCATGTTCCGGCGGGAGCCTTCCGGAACACGCTGCAGGAGGAGGAAGATTAGGAGGAGAGAGAGCTGGAGTGGGAGGAGGAGCAGGGGGACGAGGAGGAGGAAGAGGCCTCCCAGACAGCTCCAAGATAGCCGAAGATGCTTCCAAGAGGGCCCTGGGCGGCCCACGAGGGCCCCAAGGCGGTGCCTGATACGCCCAAGACGGCCCGAGAGGGCCCCAAGACGGCCCCAAGAGAGGCCCAAGAAGGCCCGACAGGCCCCAAGAGATCTCCCAAGGCGGCCCCAAGAGGCACAACTCATTGTTTTACGATTGGGCTTTGACGGTTTTTTTTTCCGGCCTTTTGGCATCCCGATGCTCCAAGACGGCCCCGAAGGCTTCCAATACCGCTCCCACATAGAGGAAGAGGCCTCCAAGAGGGCCCCAAGACGGCCCGCGAGGGCCCCAAGACGGTGCTTGAGGCGCCCAAGACGGCCCGAGAGGGCCCCAAGAGCCCCAAGAGAGGCCCAAGAAGGGGAACGCGACCCAACAGCAGAGCGGTCCCCCCACAAGGCCCACAGGAGGCTGCAAGAGGCCCCAAAGTGGTCCGACGAGGACCCCAACAGCTCCCCGAGGGCCCAAAAGGCCCCTGGGAGACGTCCAAGAGGTTTTAAAAAAAGCCCAAGAGTGCCCCAAATGCATCAAAGCTGCTTCCAGGAGGCCCCTGGGAGGCTTCCGGATTGCCTCAATCTGGCCGCAGGTGGCCTCAAGTCGGGCCTCCACGCAGCCAAGACGGCCAATGACGGCTTCAGATTGCAGAACCGATGCCCCCAAGGGATCCTCAGACGCCCCCCCAAGAGGCACCCAATAGGTGCCTCCAACAGCCAGTTGACGAAGCATGCGGGACACCCCAGAAGCTCCTCAGATGCCGTCGCGCCCCTGTGCTTGATACCAGCGCCCCCCCGGCCTGGGCTAGAACCTGAGCGCGCGCGAAGCGCGCGCGATGGTTCTAGTATATATATATGTATATATAGATAGATTCACATACATTTGCATCTACATGTATATATATATATATATATGTGTATATATATGTATGCATGTATGTATGTATGCATGCATGCATGCATGCATGTATGTATAGATGTATGTATGTATGTATGTAGGTATGTATGTATGTATGTATGTATGTGTGTGTATGTGTGTATGTGTGTATGTGTGTATGTATGTATGTATGTATGTATGTATGTATGGATGGATGGATGGATGTATGTATTTATGTGTGTGTATGTATGTATGTATGTATGTATGTATGTATGTATGTATGTATGTATGTATGCATGTGTGTATATGTATGTATGTGTGTTTGTATGTTTGTGTATGTATGTGTGCATGCATGTATGTATGTGTGTATGTGTGTATGTGTGTATGTGTGTATGTGTGTATGCATGTAGGTATGTATGTATGTATGTATGTGTGTATGTATGTTTGTATGTATGTATGTATGTATGTATGTGTGTGTAGGTATGTATGTATGTATGCATGCATGCATGCATGCATGCATGCATGTATGTATGTGTGTATGTATGTATGTATGTATGTATGTATGTAGGTGTGTATGTATGCATGTATGCATGTATGTATGTATGTATGTATGTATGTTTGTATGTGTGTGTGCATACATGTATACATGTAGGTATGTATGTATGTATGTATGTATGTATGTATGTGTGCATGTATGTGCATCATATATACACATATATATATGTATACAAGACTGCATTGGCGCTTTGCGCCATGCACCTTGGTTCTTAAAGCTCTGCATGCAGGATAACCAAATATAGCGATTATTCATTGCTGCCGTTTGCGCCATCGTCGTTATAGTAATGTTATGTATTATCCTTATACTTCCTCTCCTCTTACTCGTAATCTTCCTTGTCTGCGAGCCACTCCTTGTCCTCATCCCCAGTTTTTATTGCAGGGGCTCCTCTTTGGAGGTGTTCTTGGGCCCCTCTCAAAAGCTTTTTGGGGACCTCTGGGGGCCTCCTGGGCGCCTTTTGGGGGCCTCTGGGGGCTTCTTGCGGCCACCTTGCTACCAACCACGGTCTCCCTGAACGACCGGGTCACGATTTGGAGTGCTTCGGGAGGCGTCTTGGGGCCATCTGGGGCTGTCAGCGGGGCTCTCTTGGGGCCATCTTGCGGCCCTGTTGGACCATATTGGGGCTCTTTTGGACTGTCTGGAAGCCCTTTGACACCGTTGTGGGAGGATTTTTGGGGCCTCTTCGGCGGACTCGGACGCACGGAATACCGAAGAACCGAATGTCCAAAAATTCAATACAAAAACTAAAGGAAAGTGTTGTTTTTTGCACTTGGAGGACCTCTTGGGGGTCTTCTTTGGGTCGTCTTCGGGCGTCTTGGGGCTGTCTGGGGCCGCGTGGGGCTCTCGCGGGGCCGTTTGGCCGCCCTCCTGACCGCTTTGGGCCCGCTGGCAAGGCCCGGCAGGGGCGTCCAGGAGGCCCGGAAGGCCCGGGGGACCCATTGCAAGGCGTCCAGGGGGCCCAAAAGCGCCAGATCCCGGGGGTCCGATTTTCGGGGGGGGGGGGGTCCCCCCCCCCGGATTGTAAAAATATAGAAAAGGGAATATATGTGTACACACATGTACATATATATATATATATATATATATAGATATAGATACGCCTCCCTGGGCCCCCGACGTTTACTTCTGGGACAACTTTCGGACAATCCCCGGCACCGCCCCCCCGGGGCTCCCAGGGAAACCCCCGAACGCCCCGAGATGGCCCAAAACGCCACCAAAGAGCTCCCAGAACGCAAACAAACATCCCAAGAAAGCCTTTCGACGGCTTTCCAGGCTCCCAGGATCACCGAAGAGTTAACCAGAACGCTTCCAAGAGGCCCCAAGAGACCTCCGAAAGGCGTCCCGAGAGGGCCCGAAGAGTCCAACATCCTTGATTTTCATCGACAAGCTTCCAAAAACGAGCCTAAATATATCGGGTCCACAAGTGTCGAGGTCCAATGCTCGTCGCCTGCCACGTGGGGCGGCCGCTGCGTAAGGTCTGAGGCGTATGTCTCGTCGCTGTCGTTGTTTTGGCGTTATTGAGCACTGTCGGGCGTGTCTAGTTTACGAAGCTGAAGGAAGGCGTTACCACTGAGGAGCACGCGCTCGTCGTTACTTCGAACGACATCGCCACCAACGCCGAACCCGACGCTTGGTAAACCTGATTGTAGGTTCCAACCGCCTGAGGCCACCCTCCACCAAACATAGTTGCAGCGCCTGCTTTGACCTTCCTTCCGACGGCTACCTCGCCTTCCGCTGACCATGGGGTCAACTTCGACCTTTGCCCCTTCCACCGCATTATCCCCCCCTCAAGGCATCTTCTCTTCCTTGTACTCCTCCATGCCGGGCCGCTTTCATTTAGAGCGCCAAAGTGTTAAAAGCAGCAGCACGTTGCTTAGGCGAGCCCGTGCTAAGCGACTGGAATGGGCAAATCTACCAACCAGCTGTCAGTGCCCAATGTCTAAGACGATTCGGGCGGGGCTGGTCTGGGATGGTGGGTGGAGGGAAGGGGGGAGGGGGGGCGGAGGTGGTGGTGGAGGGCGAAGCACCAGCGCTCCCTCCCTTTTAGTGAGAAATCTGGAGTAATCCCTTGATGTAAACGCGCCCTACAGACTCGGCCCGCGTCGAGCGCGGGTACTCTGGCAGGTCTCCCTGCCCCTTTGCTGCCGCTGCCCGCTGCCGCCCTCTAGAGATCGAACGAGAGTTGTGGCCCCACAGTCGTGTTTTATCCTATCTTACCCCTCCTCTCAGCACCATCATCATCATCATCATCATCATCATCATCATCATCATCATCATCACCATCATCATCATCATCATCATCATCATCAGCAGCAGCAGCAGCATCATCATCATCAGCGTCGTCATCATCAGGGTCATCAACATTCTTCGGATCACCATCATAATCATCATCAACATCATCAGCAGCATCAGTATCACCATCACCCTTTATCATGGTCATGCCTCATCATCATGCCGGCATCATCATCATCATCATCAGCATCATCATCATCCTTGTCATCATCCCTATCCTCATCGTCAGTAACACCGCCATCATTCTCATCCACCTCCGCCTCATCATCCTCCGCCCTGCCCCCGGCTCCCCTCTCCCTCCTGCTCCATCTGCCCAGCTGCTCCCCCCCTCCTCGCTGCTGCCTCCCCCCCAGAAGAAGGCATGGCGGGCCCCGCGTCGCCCGTGGACCTTCTGGCTCGCGTCCGGGGTGCAGGCTCGGGGCGCGCGCGTGTCCCACGGCCCATACTCAGCTACCGTACCGCCCTCCTCGCGCCCGCGGCGCCATGAGGTGCCTCGGCGTGTGGCCGCCCCTCGTCGTCGAGGGGGGGGAGGGTGGCAGCAGAGCGTGTGAGCCCGAGGCTGCGGTGGCGTGGTGCCTCTCTCTTCGGGGTGAGCTTGCCAGCCGGCGGAATCCGGGACCGCCTCCCTCTCGCTCCCACCCCCCCCCAAAAAAAAGCGTGTGAGCCCGAGACCCCCGAGACCTTCGCGAACGGTGGCAAGCGTTTCGTGGACTCCCTGGAGAGGGGAGGGCTGCTGGCGAGGGTTTAAGGGAGGGGGGGCCAGCCAGACGGCCTGCGCCCCCTCCGTTCCGTCGAGTTGTTTTTGTTGTTGTTTAGTGGCGATGCCACTTCGGCCTCTGTCAGAGGATCTGAAAGGTAGGCAAGAGGCAATTTGACGAGGAAGAGGAGGAGGAGGAGGAGGAGGAAGAGGAGGAGGAGGAGGAGGAAGAGGAGGAGGAGGAGGAGGAGCAAACGGTGGTGAAGGAAGAGGAGGAAGGAAGAGCGTATAGGGATGAGCGAGGAGGGAGGAGAGAGGAGGACGAGGAGGACGAGGAGGACGAGGAGGATGAGAAGGAGGCGGAGGAGGAGGAGGAGGAGGAGGAGGAGGAGGAGGAGGAGCGCAGCAAACGGAGGAGGAGGATGAAGGAAGAGGGAAGAGGGATTTTAGCGAGAAGGGCGGATCGAGGAGGACAGAGGAGGAGGAGGAGGATAATGAGGACAATAAGGACAATGAGGACCATGAGGACAATGAAGACAAGGAGGAGGAGGACGAGGAGAACAAAAAAAAAAGAAGGTGGAGGTGAGGAGGAGAAGAAGAAGGTAGAAGGATCTTTGGGGGGCATTCTGGGTGTCTGTTGGGGGCTTCTGGGGGCCATGTGACGGGCCTTGGGCCATTTAGGGGCAGAGGGTTCCCTCAGGACCTTTGCGGGGTTTTACTGGGCTGGTCTGGGGGATCTCTTGCGCTGTCGTGAGACTCCTTGGAGCTGACTTGGGGCCCTCTTCAGCACCTGTTGAGCCGTTTTGCGCGGGTCTGGGGAGCGTCTTGGGGCATCTCGGGCAATCGAAAGCCGGCAGAGATCAGAACGCCAAAATTGCGCAATAGCAACAGAGCGACAATGCTTTGTGCCCCTGGAGGGCCTTGTGCCGATCCTATTGAAGCCCTCTTCGGTCGTCTT